GATGAGTCATAATTCTCTGTCTTCTCCACTGCAGAGAAAGGCACCCTATACAGAACTGACCTTTTCTAAATAAAGAGCATCTGTTTGGGGGGGGGGGATAATAAAGATATAGCTGTCTTGTGGGAAAGAGGTTACCATCTTTTTTCTTGAAAAGTGGGGTGAAAGGAAGATTAAGGATTTGCCCACCCCTGAACCATGTATGAAACAATATGTTCAGTCTATGGAGCCTTCCAAACAATGCTATTTTTAAAATAGGGACATTCATTCTCTCAGAAGGACTAGCCTTACTTTAGAGAAAAAATGGAGATGAAAGTGTTGTTGTGGTGGTTGCTGTGAGTGCCATCAGATAGTTCTGACTGGATCTGGTACTTTAATTATTGGACCCTTCCTAAGGAACTGCGATAGCAAAAGATATCATCATAATGTATGTGCTGTTTCAAGTGCAGTAATGCAACTTTTCGTAATTGATGAGTTGAGATTCTGTCCATTCCTAGTGCATCCAAATGCTCTTTCAGATCTTTTGGTATGGCACCGAGTGCATCAACCGCTATTGGCACCACTGTTACATTCTTTCCACACATTCACTCAATCTTTATTTGAAGTTCTCTATATTTTTTCTCACTTACCAATGTCAATTATCCATACTTGTTTCTCTGTTACAACAGTCATGGATGATGATGATGATGATGATGATGATGATGATGATGATGATGATGATGATGATATTTTGCAAAGTTTTGTATGAATTTGATGGGTGCTATTAGTGAATCTGCATACAACTACAGCCTTTATCCTCAACATACTTTATTTTCTTTTTAGTTTGAAACCCACAAACACTGGAAACATGGCTGGCCTGTTTTGTAGCATTTTAACATGTGAAGTAATACATATTTGGCATTTCCATTCCATGCAAGTAATGACATTATTTGGCTGTAGTTTCTTGTTATCTGAATACTATCATGGCCTTAATTTTTTCAAATCATGTGGCAATATTATCTACCTCACAGTGTCTCCTTCTCTGATTTGCAGCTATACTATATAAGGAAACAACCTACTATTTCTTAAATGTATTGGAGATTTACGCAACTAAAGTGTCAGAAAGTTTGCTGCAAAGAAAAGTTCAAGACCTAAGTATATGCAGATTTCAGATAGCTCCATCTTTCTAAACTGGAAATGAACAGTTGGATCATTCCTAAATAGCTTTGGCATGGAATATTCCTGTGACAATTCCCTGACAGATTTCTCTTTTTTCAGTGGCACAATGCTTTTTGGAAGGAAATGTGTCACTTAGCTGGTGTCAGTCACATAAGGTTTGTGTTGCTCATAGAAGCAATCTATAAAGGTAGAAAAGAGAAGGAAGAGATCTTACTTCATGAGAAAGATTGCTTGAAATTGAGCGAGTTTGGCATTTAGTGCATATCTCAATGCTTGCTGTCAAAACTACATATAGGTATACAGAGATGCGTGTATTGGTATAGTACAGAGACAATGAATTTATGCTGTAAGTCAAGAAGCCCACAACCCCAATTCAAATTAGCTGTGAATTCACTGGGATGGCAATGTTGGCCTGCTTGAAAGGCTGGTAAGGATTAATGAGATAAGGTAATTTAAGAGACAGTATGATGTGATAAGTAGATTAGGTTCAAGTTCACTCTCTGATTTAAAGCTCACTGGTCTGACTTACCCTGCCTCACCTAGTTGTTTCGAGGCAAAAAAAAGGAGGGAGAGAACTTTGTAAGCCACTTTGTGCTTCTTAGATGAAAGCTGTGATACAAACATAATACTGAAGTAGGTGAGGTATACAGAACTAAATGAACTGTGACAAGTATTGAAGCCACAGTGGGTAGCCTAGGTACAACTCAGCCCCAAGATAGCCACAATTGTTGTACACCACCCAGAGTCACTTTCTGTGAGATGGGCAGCTATATAAATGTGATAGATAGATAGATAGATAGATAG